TTCCTTCCTTCCTTCCTTCCTTCCTTCCTTCCTTCCTTCCTTCCTTCCTTCCTTTCTTCCTTCCTCCCTTCTTGCCTCCATCCCTTCCTCCCTCCCTCCATTCCTCCATTCCTCCCTCTCTCTCTCTCCCTCAGTCCCTCTCTCCCTTTCTTCCTCTCTCCCTCCTTCACTCTTTCCCTCTTTCCCTCTCTCCCTCTCTTCCTCCCTCTCTATTTTTTGAAATTGTGATGCTGAGGACTTGGGTGAGTACAGAAGGAGGAGGGGAAAAGTCAGTGAAAGAAACTCTTCAAAGGCCTTTACTGAGGCAGAGCCTGGTTGCTAGGGCTTGAAAAGATTGTTATTCGTAGCTAACATGAAGTTATTCTAAAATGCACTCAGCCTTATAAGTAAACAAGTTCTAAATTTCTAAGAGAAGTGTGGATTGAACCTTCTGACACATAAAAATAATCTTTTGACACTTTGGGATGCACATATATTTGTGCATTAAATTCCATAAAATGCCAGGGGAAAGAGAAAGGAAGTAATTTCTTTAAATTGAGGACATATACCTCAAATAACTCACATATTTAAAAACATCTGAATTTTTACAGCATTTATTTCAAAAATTTTGTTTTCTTGTGAGTCTTGTAGTAATATAGAGTTCATCAAAAACAAACCATCATGATAGCAAAATAAATGTGTGATTCTACTTTCGTTTTATTTATATTTCCAAATATCGAACCTTGAAATTTGTTTACTTTTCATCCTTTTCACAAATTTATATAAATGATATTTGCTAGATGAATCAGGCACTTAAACTTTTTGATACAGAAATTATTTAAACTAGTTATACAATTATTAAGAATTTTGCTAGAGGACTGAGCAGGGATAATTTACACAAAACAAGTAATTTTAACATCACAATAAATTCAGTAAGCAAAGGAAACAAAAATGATGTTATCTTTATTAACTGTTAGCTATATGATTTCAGTTAAATATTTAATTTTCAAAGCTATTTATTGGCCTAGAACAATATAATTAAATAATTATTTTTGAGAACCTCTTTATTTAAAAACCGGCATTTTGACGTAATGATTAAATGTTAATACAGTGAAAACATAATTTGAATCTTTCTCTTTTTCACCTTTCTGGTAAGGATATAGGTTGTCATAGTGCAATAAAGAATTTGTGGTACCTGGTTAGGGATTTTTAGGGTAAAGAAGATGGAAATATATTCTCCCCTGGTGCATGAGAGTTGTGGAACACTAAACTCACAAACTTAATCTCCTCAGTCTCAAAGCTATAATTTTTTCCAAGAAGCCCCTTATGAGTACACATGATAACAAAAAAGTTTTCTCCAGGCAAAACTTAATGGATATAACAAGAAGATGCTTGTATAAAACACTAATTCCTACCAGAGTTTCTATTATGAAGGAGTTAAGTACAAATTCTTTAGGACCAGGGATCCCTGGTTATTGAAGGTACAGAGACCATTTGTAATGATTTTTGGAAGGTAGAAAAAGAATTGACCCATTATCTCTAGTTTTGTTTTCCTGTCTCTAATTACCTATCAAGGCCTTTGCTCCTTATGTTCTACCCCATAGGCCCACTGTCTCAGTTCCTTTCTAGAGGTCAATGACACTCAGAGGATCTAGCTTTATTTCTTTTATATTCACCTCATGATATGAATTTCTTCTTAATGATTTTATTTTTCTTGATCCTTTATGTTATTAGATCAGGGACCAAGCTGGTAAAGTGAAAGATACCAGGGAGGTAAGTCAAGAAAACTCACCTACTGAAATATATAACAGGAAATGTATCTCTACTAACTAGAGGTTCAGAAGGTCAAAGTCATTTAAAAAATGCTGAATTTGGCCGGGCACGGTGGCTCACGCCTGTAATCCCAGCACTTTGGGAGGCCGAGGCGGGCGGATCACGAGGTCAAGAGATCGAGACCATTCTCGCCATGATGAAACCCCATCTCTACTAAAAATACAAAAATTAGCCGGGTGTGGTGGCATGCGCCTGTAGTCCCAGCTACTCGGGAGACTGAGGTGGAAGAATTGCTTGAACCCAGGAGGCGGAGGTTGCAGTGAGCCGAGATTGCGCCACTGCACTCCAGCCTGGCGATACAGCAAGACTCCGTCTCAAAAAAAAAAAAAAGTGCTGAATTCATTCTGTTAGGAAAATTTTCAAAATTTATAATGGATGAAAACATCAACAAAACAGTATCTTAAAGGGCCTAAACTCTGGTAGCATTGGCATTGGCTATTTTACCAGCCAATCAGCCCCAGAGCATGGTGGAAACATTGGTTTAAAGGAGACATTGCTGTTTTGAAGACGTCAGGAGACACCAGAGAAGACATCATCATTTTCACTGTCCATCCTTGTAGGATAGAAGGGAATGGTAATTGATGAGGACTATATCTGACTAATGACAATTTCAAATAATTCTGGAATTTAAAAATTTCCAAGATATTTTTAATGTTCCAAGAAACTTCATTTAGAAAGAAATTCTTACCTATTTTTAAATGAAATAGACATACCTAGAGTAGAAAAAAAGAAAGACATCCACCTGACAACTGACAAAATCAAACCAGTGAGTAAATTATATCACAGTAAGATTACTTTCAAATCAAGCCACATCCTCATTTTTAGTGCTCTATTATATTTACCTTTATTTGTAAAGTTTTTAAAATGGCACTATTTTTAATTGAATTTTTATGTACAAATCTTGTATTTTAAACAGAGGAGAAAATACTTTCACAAATAATTTCTTATAGATGTCATTTGATGAAGGAGGATTGCTCACAACACTAAAAATAATATTCAAAATAAAGTTTCAAGTTTTGGGGAGACACCAACACATATCTCCCATCTAGAGGTTATGTTGGTTAATACATATTTGTGATTTCATCCATATTTTAGGTAATCATCTGTTTTGTTAATTACTACTGTTTTTATATGTCTCTAATGTACATGAGACTTTTGTTTTTGTTTTTTTTTATTACATTTTAAGTTCTGGGGTACATGTGCAGAGTGTGCAGGTTTGTTACATATGTATGCACTTGGCATGGTGGTTTGCTGCACCCATCAACCCATCATCTACATTAGGTATTTCTCCTAATGTTATACCTCCCCTATTCCCCCACCCCTAAAAGGCCCTGGTGTGTTATGTTCCCCTCCCTGTGTCCATGTGTTCTCATTTCTCATTGTTCAACTCCCACTTATGAGTGAGAACCTGTGGTGTTTTGTTTTCTGTTCTTGTGTTAGTTTGGTGAGATGATGGTTTCCAGTTTCATCCACGTTCCTGCAAAGGACATGAGCTTATCCTTTTTTTATGGCTGCATAATATTCCATGGTGTATATGTGCCACATTTTCTTTAACTAGTCTATCACTGATGGACATTTGAGTTGGTTCCAAGTCTTTGCTATTGTGAATAGTGCTGCAATAAACATACGTAGGCATCTTTTTATTGTAGGATGAGTTATATTTCTTTGGGCATATACCCAGTAATGAGATTGCTGGGTCAGGTGGTATGTCTGATTCTAGATCCTTGAGGAATTACCACACTGTCTTCCACAATGGTTGAACTAATTTATACTCCCACCAGCAGTATAAAAGCATTCCTATTTCTTCACATCCTCTCCAGCATCTGTTGTTTCCTGACTTTTTAATGGTCGCCATTCTAATTGGTGTGACATGGTAATTATGATGTTAGGGTGTTGATCTCAGATCTTTCCTGCTTTCTTGGGTGGGCATTTAGTGCACAAATTTCCCTGCAGACACTGCTTTAATGTGTCCCAGAGATCCTGGTATGTTGTGTTTTTGTTCTCATTGTTTTCAAAGAAATTTTTATTTCTGCCTTAATTTTGTTATTTACTCAGTAGTCATTTGGAAGTGGGTTGTTCAGTTTCCATGTAGTTATGCGGTTTTGAGTGACTTTATTAATCCTGAGTTTTAATTTGATTTCACTGTGGTCTGAGAGACTGTTTGTTATGATTTCCGTTCTTTTGCATTTGCTGAGGAGTGTTTTACTTAAAATTATGTGGTCAATTTTAGAATAAGTGCAATGTGGTGCTGAGAAGAATGTCTCTTCTGTTGATTTGGGGTAGAGAATTCTGTAGATGTCTGTTAGATCCTCTTTGTCCATAGCTGAGTTTAAGTCCTGAATGTGCTTGTTAATTTTCTGTCTTGTTGATCTGCCTAGTATTGAGAGTGGGGTGTTGAATTCTGCCACAATTATCATATGGGAGTCTAAGTCTCTTTGTAGGTGTCAAATAACTTGCTTTATGAATCTGTGTGCCCCTCAGTACCACATCACACTTATTCTAAAATTGACCACATAATTGGAAGTAAAACACCCCTGAGCAAATGCAAAAGACTGGAAATCATAACAAACAGTCTCTCAGACCACAGTGCAATCAAATTAGAAGTCAGGATTAAGAAACTCACTCAGAACTGCACAACTACATGAAAACTGAACTACCTGCTCTTGATTGACTACTGGGTAAATAATGAAATTAAGGCAGAAATAAATACGTTATTTGAAGCCAATGAGGACAAAGACACAATGTATCAGAATTTCTGGGACACTGCTAAGGCAGTGTTTAGAGGGAAATTTATAGCACTAATTTCTCACATGAGAAAGTGGAAAAGATCTAAAATCAACACTCTAATATCACAATTAAAAGAATAGAGAAATAAGAGCACACAAATTCAAAAGATAGCAGAAGATAAGAAATAAGGAAGATCAGGGCAGAACTGAAGGAGAGAGAGACATAAAAAAAACCTTCAAAAAAATCAATGAACCCAGGAGCTAGTTTTTTGAAAAGAACAACAAAACATATAGACCACTTGCCAGACTAATAAGGAAGAAAATGGAGAAGAATCAAATAGATGCAATAAAAAATGATAAAGGGGACATCACCACTGACCCCACAGAAATACAGACTACCATCAGAGAA